ATTTGCATGATAGCTCACTCATTTTACACGCAAAAAACTTGTAACAGCACTCATTTTAAAGCTTATGTTGAGCACTATAAAACCCAATTTTACTGAAATTCATAAAATGTAAAACCTCGACACTAGATGGCTTTAAATACAACAGTTAAATCTTGAACGAAATAAAAAACGACTTTGCTCTTTCAAATCTTGCTTAATATTTTTCCTAGAACACTTTATCTAATACCGATTTATTAAGATTTTTATTGACATTATTTTGTTCATTACATGATTTTTGTTAAAATGTATATTTTAGGAGATATTTGCAAAAAAACGAAGAAAAACGCCAAAAATATATGAATCTTTAGTGGACAGTAACTTGAAAAGTATTAGTTTTTTTGAAAAACTATAAAAGACATTTTTTTCTTATAATTAGTTCTTCTATCGATTTCCAACGTTATTTTGAAAAAATGTAATTACACAATTGAGAGGGGGTGTCATCCCCCCGGGGGGTGATGGCGCAATCCGAAATGTTTTCACTTTTGAACTTGAGGGTTAGATGAACCTAATTCCAAAATTTCATTTAATTCGGAGCGCAGTAAAAAATTCAGACCTAAAACGCTCCATTTACTGCACTAAAAATAATAAAATCTTGAATAAGTTTAAAAAAAAATAGATGATACTTTCTGGATAAAAGTACTGCTAATTTTAATTAGGAAATTAAACAAACATTTAATATGAACGTATCAAGCAGAAATTATTGTATTATTGGGTTGTATGAATGAGTATAATATATTTAACAGAACTTTATTGATGTATAAGATAAAAAATCATAAAATAGATAGGTAAAGTTACAAGTGAGAAAGTTTTGCTAGAAACTGAAGAATGTTTATGCAAAAATATGCATAGTTTAAAAGTTTGGAATAGTGAGCAATTTGATGAAAATAAGTGATAATTGATAAAAGAAATGCATAGAGATAAAAATATATCAGTAAGGAATTGTTTGTAATGTGATTAGCTGAGGATCAGAAAAAATAGTTAAATATTTTGCATTTAAAAAATGTTTATTTGTACGTAGTCAGGTATGTATGTTTATACATACATATATTTCAGAACCTTTGTCTGATAAAACACTGCAAATATTATTACAAATTATTTATATATATTTATAATCTAATATTAGCTTCTCATTAATAACCTTATCTTGGAAAGTAAATCAATAAAATTGCTACGATAAGTGTCGTAGGTTATCTAATAAGAGAGTTATTGTAAAAGGTTTAACAAACTTCAGAAATTATGTTATATTGCAGATTATGAAAATACTAAAGTTTGCATTCTAACTAAGAATTATTCAGAATTTTACTATCCAAATATGAATAATCTTACGGACTTATTGAGTAACGTGTTACTTCTGCATTTAAATAATCATAATCCAACGTTTTTATTAATTTAAATTTTAAAATGTGGTCAATGTAAAAATACATTATAGGTATATGATTACTCATAGGTATTTATAAATATAACTAAGTGTACTGAAAAGTACATTTTCATTAATGGTTTAGTATTAATATTTCCATAATCTGCAAAATAACATATTTTCTGTAGTTTGATAAACCGATCATAATCTCTCTAATTTTTACTACATGCTGTCGATCTCTTTACCAGGTTTATAAAACATCTTGACATTTTTCTTTTAATTATCCTTTATGATATGCAAAATAACTAGAATCTGTGTGATTTAAGTTCACACATGATCAACACATGAACTTACAATAAATTTCCAAGTTCTTCGAAATGGACCGAGTACTAAACTTGTTAGCAAATATTCCTTGAATGAATTACTTCTGTGGGCTATTAATTAAAATAAATAAATAAATAAATAAATACGAAGAGGAGATTAAAAAATATTACAAATTTACTAAAAAAAAGTTTTAAAAGACTGGCTTTTCACTATATCTATTTTAATCGTTGATTAGATATGATTTCCCAAATTATTTCATATAAAATTCAAATTTTAAGTAGTTTTTTTTAAATTATGTTTTTAGTTATATTTGAAATAAATCAATGAAAATTAAGATAAACTAATTTACAATAATTGATATTATTATCATTATTAAATATTTGAACGATAAAGATTCATATGTATATAATTAAATTTGATTGTCTTTATATTTGTTGTAACAATATATTAAATAGTATATTGGAAAATAAATATTTTAGATTTAGACATGAAACGCTTAGGCAATATTATTGTTTTGTAGCTTAATTCATATCGATATTATTGAAATAGTATTAATTTGAATAGCACAATTAATGTCTGAATAACTGTCTCATATTATAAAGTATAGTTGGATTTAAATGGATTATAGAAATTAAATAATGTTATCACTCTTGATTTATCTTTTTCTACTTGAATTTATTTTAAGAATAAGTTCTGTATAAAGTTATTAATTTGTAACTCAGCTCTAACATAATTGAAAAATATTAAATTGTAATCGAACGATATATGAAACTTTAAATTAATAATAAATGTCGATTCATATAATGTATATATATATATATATATATATATATATATATATATAAATAGGTGTGTGTATAGTACGTTTGTGTATTGCAATATGAATTTATCGATATATAGGTACATATACAAGTACGTTCAGAGTCAAGAGGTGTTAATTAGTTTGAACTCGTACCGGATATAAAATTTAATATAATTTCCGTTTTCCGAGACACGTGAGAAGGTATGGGTCTGAAATGGGATTTGCTTCCTTACAGAAGGTGCTTGAATACGACATATGCTATGCAGTACCTAAACATATTATTAGGTTTAGGTTTAGGGATATATAGAATTGTATTATTGTTTCATATTATTAATAAAATATTGTAGCACTTTAATTAATGGTTCATATAAAAATGCGTTTACGATTTATTATAATCAAATAATGTATTTTGAATAAAGTAAAACCAGATATGCTCGTGAAATTTTAAATAAAACTAGGTGTAAGTGACATTTTGACCTAAGACACGTACTTTCCAATATGGATAAATAATCGATCAAATTAAGAAATATTTTATTTGTAAGAGTTTACTGGTTTATCTTTCTGAGCATCTACTTGTCTAAGTTGTCAACTTTTCTACTTTCGCTTACCTGCTTACTTACCCACCCGTTTACCCATCTACTTGTATATACTTATTCACTTGTTTTTATTTACGTGCCCACTAATCGAGCGACCTACTTGCCTACTTTTTTTTAGTTTTCTGCCTGTTTACTTGTTTACATGTCTACCTGTCCATCTGTCTACCTGTCCATTTGTCTAATTGTTCATCTGTGTATCAATGTTTCTAAATGTATATGAATCAATAATATTGTTTTGTAAAGATCATTTTAAAACACCAAATATCAATTTCAATATCAACTATTTTCCCTGCAACTCCAATAGAGCTGGACCCGACTTTGTAAAAATGTAATTGATATTTTTACTCAGTCAAGTAGTAAAATGTACTTTGATTTATTCGAACCGTATGCTCTGTTGTCTCAAAAAGTACATTTTTTTACTCTTTGCTTCGTAACTCTCAAACTGGTTGGACCTGTCTTTACCAAAAATTAATCAGCAAGTCTGGACGTCAATACGAATTGAATGTCCTTTGAGTCCATGTAATTTGATCTAGAAATTGTGCTACGAACACACACAAAAGTTAATTAAATAATTATACAAATTTCCATACAAATAAACAAAACCCATGTTTTTCAAAAATAGGTAACTTTTGGATTTTTGAAAAAATTTACCTACATGAAAAATTTTGTAGTTTTCTGGTAACTTTTACAAGTTTCATCGTTAATTTTTATTTTTTTGTAATTACAGCGGCCTTTTTGAAAAAAAATGAAATTTAAAATGTGCCTAATATGAACATGTTGAAAGTAAAATAAAAGGCCTGATTGAACTAATTAAAAATGATCACAAAAGTGCAATCGCATTAAATGTATGATCAAATATATAAAATCATGATTATATTTCTATAATACTTTATCGTATGTCCATTTTAAACAAATTGATGAATTAATTAAAATTGAAAATAGTTTTCCATAAAAGCAATAATTTCACAATAAATTTTTAGTGTCGTTGTTTTAACAAACAAATGAATATCCCTAGTTGTGGTTCTTTTGACTGAATATTGTTGAAAACATTTTTTAATTATATGCTCTTTGATTATATATTATAATTATAAAATATATTTTCAATGATAATCAAACAAAAATAACATAAATGATTGGTATTTGTTAAATAGTTGATAAAATATTTGTTTGTTCAACAATTGATAAAACAAATTGTTGTAAATTGAACTAATTTGATTAATTTAATTAATTATTAAATATTCAATAAGGTAAACACACTTGATAGTGTTATGGAAATATCATGATTTAATAATTCAGTGATCAAAATTTAAACTGTTGCTGTAAGTATATTTGTATTTATTGATTAAAATATATAAACTTTTTTTATTTCTATTTTTATGAATATTTGTTGCGACATGTTTATTAGAACTAGTGGTGCATGAAATTGTGCTTTAAGGCAATTTGCTGGAACTTTATGTACCTTAATTATATGTTCTAGGAATAAAAATAATCAATAACCAACTAAAACTATTCAATAATTGCTAATATAATTGTTTCAATTATTTTCAAATACTCAAAACTTATAAGGTTTTATTAAATTGAACGACGAGCGTATATGACAAACAACTTGTATGTATGCTTCCAATTTTTTTTTTCAATTTCATTTTTTAACAAAATTCTGAAAAAAAATCGATAATTTAAACTTAAGAGAATTTTTTTAAGTTAATTATGTTCAACACTTTTGCATATCTCTTTTATTAATATAATAAGCAAAATACCGATGCAATATTGCTATGTGATCTAACAACGAACTTTAATATAAAATTGAACTAAATTAATCAGTTAATATGTAAATTTGATATGTATTAGAATATGTTTATTTTACATAATTATACTATTTCAGATGGGTTATCTTGATGTGGTAGTTCCGCCTGATATTCTGAACGATGATGAAAATGATGCTGGAGGTTCAGATGTTATTGACGGGTATGTAATAATAACATAATAATTTTTACCACTTTATAGTTCAGCATAATATATTCTGTTGCAGCTCTCTGAAACTGCTTCCAACAAGTATTTTTAATATTAATTTATTTATTGCAGTATAACGTCTCACAGTAGTAGCGGCATCGGCCCCGTCTCCCTCGAGGGCGGTACCGTCAAGTTAAGGTGCGCCGCAACCGGTGTTCCGCCGCCGACTGTTTCGTGGAGGAGAGAAGACTCCAAAAATATTGTTCATAGAGCAGATCAGCATAGGGAAAAGTCAGGTTAGTTATTAATACTATATGATTCTGATGTTAGTGTTACGGATTTTTTTGAAATATTTTTATCAGGTTTGTTAAGAATTCGTTGTACTTCACTTTAATAATTTGTATAATTTGTTGTGATTATTAACTTTAAGTAGACACTGGATATTAGAGCATATTAGGTTTTTTCCGCAATAATCTAAGTAAATTTGCATTTTTAAAGTATTTTCTAAGTAATTTTTCGTTTCATTTGTTTTATATATTTACTCTTTCAATACGAAAGGATACTCATCATTGCACCAAATTTTTATCTTGATTATAAATTCATTTTCCCTTCCAAAGAAACGGACAAGGTTTACTGCTCTCATCTGCAATAAATTTTCCAAATTTTGTAGTTTTGTAGTGTATATTATGTAAGTTGCGCTTACTTATAGATAGAGATTTTGATAATTTGTATGTCAGATTCAAATTTATAAGCTAGTATATTTTTATTTGCATATTGGAAAGCTAGCGCGCAAAGTTACTCAATCATTTTCAATAACTAAAGTTCTCACTGTTATATCGGTGTTTAGAATTTCACCATTACTTACAGATCACGTTATTGTTTTTTAAAGTGTAGTAAATGTAATGAGAATATAAACTTCGAGGACATAAGTAATAAGTAAGGAAAACAAAGCCTTAACATTAAGTTTTCATTCCTGTTGATCAAGAACAAATTTAGATAGGTGTGTAGACACAAAAACGTAAACGAAGTAGGGGTAAAAAGATGTATAACCAACTAACGTTTGAAAATCCATAAAAGTATTTTCTTTCGTTGTTAGTTCTTTTTGGTTATGAGCATCGTTGCTTAGTTTTGGAAATCTTAATATAGTTTTCAAGTATACGTTATTTGATTGTTTTATAAGATGTATTGCTAAGTTTAAGTTAGATGCAACAGTTTTTTTATATATCATTTATAAAAATTAACACGTTGGTGGGGTGAGAAAGACCAACTGACCCCTCACCCTGACAAAGGCGTGAACAATAAGAACTAAACTAAGTTGAAATAGCTATTTTACATGTTAATTTATTCCAACCCTACTGAGGATTATATTGATGAAATACCACATCAGAGTTATACAGTCCTATCTCTGAAAAAAATGTATCCATAAAATTTATATTTTGCATTGATGGAAAAACATATCTAGCTGTGAGTTTTACTTATACTTATACTTTAACATAGTCAGATAGTTGTTTATGTGATATGTTATTTGTTGTCATATAATTGATTTGGTTTTCACAATATAATTGCTCAAAGTCAGATCAGACCGTTGTGGCGAGGCCCAAAGCTCCCATTTCTTATTATTAATTTTAAATGGATTTTACGAAATAATAGCTACTAATAGCATAATTCAATTAATGCAAAATATAAAATTTATGGGTACATTTTTTATAGAGATAACAATGTATATAAACTTGATCTGGTATTTTGTCAAAAATAATCATCAGCAAAGTTGAAATAATTATTTAAATCATCTCTTTTGAAATTACATGTTTAACTTCATTTACTTTCTTATTTATTGTTTTTTATTGTTTACACCTTTGCCGGAGTAAAGGCATATAAGCTGTTATAGAGGTTTTATAAAAATATTAGTTGAATCAAACTTAAAATTACCAATACATCTTATAAAACACTTAAATGACGTAGATCTGAAAATTATTTTAAGGTCTCGTAAACCAAACAACAGTGCTCACACTTAAAAAAAATTATATCAACAAAAGAAAATATATTAGTTATGGAATTTCAAACATTTACGTTTATCTCCTGATATCGATATTGTAAGTATTAAGATAATGGTTATATTTCTATTTTCCAATATTGTTATTGAAAAAAATTTCATTTTACTTGTTTTTGAAATATTTGTGATGGATCTTTTTAACAGCAGTCTTTTAAGCTCCGCTCTACCCTATGGATTGATAAAAACTATTCATAAATTACCGATATACCGATACCGATAATATTTATAGTTTATAAATGTTTTAAAATGAACAGACGATATTATTATAGTTTCAAAGATTAGATTCAAATAGATTCAAAATGCTTAAAAAATTTAATAGAACAAATAATCAGTTTATTTATTAAAAGTGTATGAATGCCAGGGCACCCATTCAATCGTAATAATAATATTTTTAGTAAATACTACTATACTAATTAATAATGTTGATGAAATTATTAATTTTCTATGAGTATGTAGTTTATTAATAAAATGCATACGTATACTGAACACAATAACTATTTTCGAAGAAAAATCAATATATAATATTTCAACAAATAAATGGAAAATACTATAATATCTAAAAATATGATATTCGCATTATTAATAATAAAAGAAGAATTTGTAAAAAGTAGCATAGGCCAATCAAAAAAATTCGTAGGACAATAGTAAAAAATTCTTTCTGGAACAATTAATTTAGCTTACTACAAACATAACTTTTATTGTGTAAGCATGTTTTTGGCTGTACCTTAGTGAAGTTGGTGTTAAATTCAGAGTCTTGAATTACTTTTCAACTTCATGAAATGTCCAAGTCTTGTAAAGTTTCTATTAGTGTATTAGGTTATACCATCGAACGCAACTTTCAGGTAAGCAAAGACTTTATCAATATGTATGGAAACGCATCAATCATATTCTGAATCGAAACTAGAATTCCTTCTTAGAACCCTGTCGTTTGAAAAGGAGCGTTGGTTTCAAATGAGCGCTGAATGAAAATAACATTATGCATACCGATGGGAAAAGAGCCTTGTTTAAAAATATAATATAAGAAAATATTTGTCTCAGATTGGATTTTCTTTTATAAATCTGATATTTCTTTTTTATGCGATTGTAAATGTACGTTTCGTTTACTCGCGGGCGTTTGTCTGTGTTTATCGATGTATGTATGTCAAGTTGTGCGTATGCAAGTAATAAATCACGTGTTCTCTTTTGAACAGATTTCTCGAGAAAATATCTGAACGTAATGGAAAATGTTTTTATTTTCGTGCGTGGTCGGAGAAGATGTGTCTGTTGATAGATTGATTATTCCTTGAAAACGCTCAGAATGTACTTTATACATACCTATCTATTTACGAATTAGGGACAGTGTATTGCTCTAAATGATGAGATCTCGAGCAGAGAAAAAGATAAAACGAGAACGTACAGTTATTGAAAAATACTAGAAATTGGATAGAATTAAATATGGCACCATGTATTATCATGGTTGTTTGCAGTATTCGAAATCTAGAATTGTACTATTGAAGGTTAGAACGTAGAGATCTGAGATATGTAAAATTTAAGAAGCACAAAATAAAATAAGCAGTGAAGGATAGTATTAGTTGATGATGAACAAGCTGATAATCTGAAAGATTAAATTTCATTAGAATTAAAAATTTTCAACAGAATTCATCATATAGGGTAGAGAGAGGCTTAGAGGTCCACAGGTGAAATGGTCTACCATCTCAAAACCGAGCAAAATATAGAATTTTCAAATGATACTATTTTAAAGCAGAAAGCAAACTATGTAACGTCTTTATCAGGAGATACACGGAAATGTATGAATATTGATACCCAACTACTAAATAATAGATCCAAATTTAAGTTTAAATTTTAAAGTACTTCTATAGTATTCAAACTAAAACATTGTTCAAGATTTGTATAGAAAATTAAAAAAAATAATAAAACGTTATTATTTGAATTCTGCATTAGATAATAATGTAACTCTTTCCTTTTGACATTTAATATGAATTTTATAGCTAATTAATGTTACGACATTTTATTTTACTCAACCTATAACACAAAATTTTCTAGTATGTGTGAGTTAATTTCCCCAACAAGTTTGTCTGTATATCCACAATGTTCAATGTCGAAAATACAGAAGTTACAATCAAGATCTATGGCATTTACTTTGTGGTTCCTAATTTACAAATTAAGGATTAAATGAGGCAAAAATCGAATAAAGAATTATTCGGCTTTTTAAACAAGGTTACACTTTAAATGGTCAAAATTATTTTTTTCAGTCAGGGAATTCTTAATTGTTTTCCTCTTTGAGCAAAAAGGAGAAATATCATTTATTTTAGAGCTCACATTCATCATTTATTTCAGAATTTGCAAAACTGTACTCTGTAGCTAAAACCAAACTATTCAGTTGTTCTATGATAAATGGCAATAAATATATATTACCATTTGTAGATGCATATATGTATATGATGTATAAGATGTATATGATATTATAATACACATAAAATTCAGAATATTAATATTAAAAATACATGCATCATTATTTTATAAAACTCAACAAGCAAAAAAAAAATCATGAAGCTTTTAAGAACTAAGAAATAAGCTGATAAAGTGCAACATATAATCTTATGGACTAATCCCGCAAAATGGATGCTGTTTAATTCATTTAATTATGCATAATAAGTTACATGAATATACTTTATACTTTATATCTACATCCGTAAAAATACATTTATTGTTTTAAATATCGAAGTAAAGTTGGACACATCAATTAATTTATCAAAAATCTATTCGCAAAAATATAAAGAGCTATAACTTATATTAAAATTTTACAATAAGGTAGGGCTGGGCACAAATGTCCAATATAAAATTATATTTTCATATACTTTCATATTTATATTTCGTGAGTATATTTTTGTATACTTTCATTTCATTCATATTTTCATATACTTTCGGTAATTATACTGTAAAAACGAAGTACATTACAGGACATAATACTTATGAAAAAACTAGTTCTAACTTATAGAAATATGTTTTCTGCTATTTTCTAAAATTTGTCACCTATTTCTTATATTTTCTATAGACCGATTAAAATTGAACAATTAGGGGAAAACAGATTCAATGTCTTATTAATTTTACAAAAATTTCGCATTTTGCCCTCGGATTAAATTTAGAGATGTTTTATTTGTTTTTGAGATGATAGTGGCAGACTTTTTTACCCGCTCTACCCTATGCTCGTAAACGATATTCCTACCCCACAGCATTTCCACT